ACTGAATAAATTCAACCAGAGTCTTATAAACCTAAACACTGAATAAAACAAAGTCCACAAAACAAAATATGTCTTAAAAGCAGAGCTGTAACCCAAAGCTCTTAACAAAACAAAACTTGACCCAATACCTAAGGCCAAACAAACCAAGAGGGTACAAACCAGTATTGGTACAAAAAGCCCCCCCCCCCCCAAAAAAAAAACTAAACAAAGATCACTTAAAAAACTACGATGGAGCTTTAGGGCCGTGCTAAGAAAAAATAATTAAAAGCCATAAATTACGAGAACAAAGTCGAATAAAGTCTTAATATTATGAGAATAAAGTCATACGAGTCTTTTTGCAGCTTTCATGTTTTTTTTTCTTTTTTTCACGAGTCAAATCCACAACGCGACCTGTCAATCAATCCAGTAGGCATGTCAGCAAATCACCAATTCAAAGCTAAATGAGTCGTAATATTATCCTAACTCCGACATGATAAACCAGAGTTTACCGCATTTTAACTGGTAAAATGAAGAATGTTGAGCATCTTGTTAAGTTATACTTTGGTATGGGTTTTACAAGTAAGGAGATAGTCAATCTGTTAGCACATCAGCATCAGATTATTATCAGTGTCAGGACTTAGAACCTGCTTACAGTAAGGTGGTACACTCTGATGGGCTGCAGCACAGCTCTGCAGGTAAGGAGCATTTAAATTTGGATCAGTCATTTGGTGACACGTCTACTGGATTGAGTGACAGGTAACATTGTGGATCAACTAATGGAAAATAAATAAACAAATAAATGACTGCGGTTTAAAAAAAAAAAAAAAAAGAGTCTCGTATGACTTTATTCTCGTAATTTTATGGCTTGTAATTTTTTTTCTTAGAATGGCGCTAAAGCTCCGTCATAAAAACAATCTAGCTACAAACAAACTCTAGTAGCACCTTGAAAGTGTACGAAAAAAATACAGCAAGTCAAAGCCATTAAAGCTATCAAAAACACCCAACAAGAGGAAAGCTGCTCAAACAAAGAAACAGCCACGCCTTCTGTGAGGAAGTTTAAGTTTAAATAGAGAGGCCTCTTCAGGGATTGGTGGAGCCATCAAGTGCTGATCCAATCAGATCTGCTGTAGGCCTCAGACAGGAAGTGACAGAGGTTGGAGGGCTGCATCCAGTTCCCACAGTGGAGCCAGCAGGCAGGAAGTTGCAACTATACAGAAGGAAAAAGAGCATACAAGGCCACTGGCCATATAGTTTTCAATAACTACTTATTGTAGCTCCTGTGGCAGTCAAAGCTTATTGGTCTCTGCTAGTGATGAGCAAGTGAAGCTTTTATGAAGCACTGAACCAGTTGGGCCAATTGTTTCAAAAATTGGTTCATTTGTTGAAGCTTCAGTTACACTGACCTCTTGTGGCAATTTGCAATGCTGCTGTCAAATTAGGCTTTTTGGTGGCACACACCAAGAACTTCAATAACTAGCGTTAAAGAAACTACTTTACTGTGGTAAAAACATTGTTTAAATTCATCAACTTTCTATGTTGTCTGGTTTGAAAATGTATTCAAGCTTACAGTTTTTTTAATAAAGATTGATAATTGTGCATTGAAGAGATTTAATAAAAATGTTGCAAAGGTATTGTGCTTGTGTAACTGTGGCAGAGTACGAGTATTTATTATTCTTAAAAATATCAATGAAATGACGTCTCCAGCATATCCAT